CAGGAAGTAATCAAATATACTTATCACCATCATATCCTATACAACATCAAACATCAGTCAATTTAATTAGACCATCTAATTCCACTGCTGTTATTGATAATAAACCTGTTGTGTTTGCATCGACTCCAACACGCTTAACTTCACCACAAGTTCAATCTCAACGACCTCAGCTTGTACAACGATTTAATGTTATAGCACCGAAACCAACAGTTCAGGTATAGTTGTTTGTAGCTTACTACGCTAGAACATATATTTATTCAATAGGTTTCACTGTACTACTATTTTATTTATCAATATGGAAATGCTATTTGTTGTTCTGTCAGTTTTTGTGGTTGTTATAGAATATGCAATAAGACTGTATATATTAGTTGTTTGTTTCAGAAGCGGTTTATGTAAATCTAACTAATCTTGAAACGTTTTTTTATGGCTATTTATTTGGCTTTATTTCAACTTCAAAGTACCTTTGAATATTTATCTGTTTAACTTAGATTAAAGTTTACAGTAACTGGTTGAAAATCAGGTTGTCATATATCGGAACAGAATTTTCATGCGTCATGGAAAATGCCACTGGTTAAGATTTTCGTAAATCTTCAATTTTCCAACGTACTTTTATTTAGTTTCAGAAAAGTATTTATTATCTCTTCTGAGTGTCTTAATTTACGCTTAAATATCTACTCAACCGTTCTGCATTTGTACTGGGAAGTCTACTGATAATAACACAAAATTGGCTAGTGTTAATGGGGCAGTTGTCTGTAGACTTGGCATTCAGCCCCTAAAATCGCGACTTTAAGAAGCGAGATTACAAATTTGAAAATAGCAATTTAAAGAATTATCGTGAAACTGACTTTTTCGACAGAACCATTAAATAACCCTCACTATCACGGTTTTATTTATCTTTTATGCAGTATAGTTTTGAATATCTACTTAGTCGTTCATTTTTTAATGGTGTATAAAAGCTTTTTTAGCGTCACTAATTTACAAAGTGGTTTCAGGATAAATTAAAAATCATTTACACCTTATTTTCTGTTTCTTTCATCTAGTCTTCAGTAAATCAAACGTATGTTCAGATATTACCGCGACCTACAGCGACAACCGTCCAAGCAACCAGACCACCTAATTTGACTGTAATAAGACCGTCAAATCAAAGTAAAATTCATGTGGATTCTTCTAATGTAACACAAAATACCACTAGTCACCAGGTTGTTGTATCAAACACATATACTAATAATGACACTGGCAACTCTAATATTAATATACCAAATCCCTGTGATATATCTCCCGTATCTATTACCACAAGTCTTCCAAACTACAACATACACCTGGCGGAGACTTCAAATACTATGGTTTCTAATGAAACAAATCTTATAAATTCATCACAACCTTCATTAACAACGGTTACTGGCAATATTGTCAACGCGTCTACAAATTTGTCATCTGTGAAAATTCAAGATGATTTATGTTTAACCGAATCACAATTAAGTACAGTGCAAAGTTTATTCCAAGATGCGAATCGCGTTACTCGACCTGAAAAAGCAATGATCATATCATTCATCGCTGGTTCAAGAGGTAAAACTTTTAAAAATACAATACACATCGTATTCAATTTAAGTGTATTCATTATCATTAATTTAACTTTCTACAATCAGTGTATGTATACATTCAGTTTACTCTTGTTTTATGGTGTGTTCATGTGTGTGTGTACATCATACTCCTAATGTAGGCGATTTTCTACAGTCATACAACTCATAATGTATATTTCAGTCAAAAAGATGTTGGATTTAATTCTACTGGTTTTTATATTTTTTTAATTAGTAAGTTAACAAAGTGGTCCCATGGTATAAATTCGTTAACAGTGATGTAGACAAATTACTTCTTGGGTTTTACCTTTTAGATTTTTGTATTCGCCATAAATTGATCTCATTTGGAGTATGACTGAAAAGTAGGTAGCACTGATTGAATACAATGATTGAATCAAATCAATTTTTAATAAACCCTCCAAATCATCTAAAGTAACTTAATTACTGTTTATCAAAAATATGGGTAAAATTGTTAGTGTTAAATTATCTAGTTTGTTGCATATACATGATAACAGCATCTTAGCCAGTAGGTATATACTTAACAGAATAATCGATATAGTCTATTTTATTTTCCATTTCGAATAAAAATTATCACTAAAATTTATGAATTTTCACAGTTAAACTCACGAACTAATCTTAATTAGGCCACCATTGAGATACATAGAAACACCGGACGAGCGTTTCGCTTTGGTATGGGACTCCTTAAAAGTGCGCATCCCAGATCCTGCACTTGGGAACCGAGCCCAGAACTTTCGCTCTCGTGCCCGAACACCTAATTTCTTAAAAATTGACTCGGGTTCCAGGTTTAACTTCAATTAATCCATGATATTACACAACACTGTGGTGGGTTACTAACTGAACCCTACTGGTCATGGCTTCTCACGAGAACTCTAGGAGCTACATCTTAAAGCTAGTCACTAGTGAGTACATGATTGTTATTAGTATGGAGGATCTGTAGAGATTGCAGTATTTTCACGCGCGCGAGATCAAAGGTCCTGGGCTCGGTTTCCGCGTGCGGGATCGTGGATGCACACTGTTAAGGAGTCCCTTACTGAGCTAAACGCTCGTCTAGTGGTGGTCTAACTAAGGTCAATCCGTCATTCCAACCATGAATATACTGCAATCTCCACAGACCGTTATACTAATCCATATGTTGTATCAATCCCTTATATTTTTGAGTAGATATTAAATTAAAAAGTGTTCATCTTTTGAGGGGATTTATTTAATTAAATACTTGTCTTTTCACAATTCGTGAATAGAGTTTTATGATGGACTTTTGTGTGCTTATGTAAAACAGATTATTTATGTAGCTTTTTCGAGGATGAATCAGTTACCCCAACAAGGAGATTAAATTGAAATCCTGATGATAATGTCAGTGAATTTATGAAAACTATCTTTGCAATAATATGAATATATGTATATATATATATATATATATATATATATATATATATATATGTTTGGAACCTCCAATTGATGTTTATAACCGCAATTGATCAATCTCTTATTGGCATATGTACATCGTGTGTGAATTGCCTCGATAGTGCCGTTAAATCACAAGCATTTTAAGCAGGTGTGTGGAGTCGTGGGTGCTAATTTCCGACGAGTCCCGAAAAGGACGAAACGCACGTTCTAAATTCCACTGTTGGCCAACATTCACCTCTGCTTAATATAAATCATCCAATACATGTTTATTTACTTGACTGTAAGCCACACCGTTTTTATTAAAGCTAATTTTATTACCTAGCTCTAAAAACCGGTGTAAGTAGAAAAAAATTCAAATTCATAATCTAGTGATTAAAAACCTATTGCTTTTATCAATAAACTCCCACTATTCCACAAACCTAACAGTTAATCTTCTAAAAAATGACTGTCCTGTCGAGATTTTTAATTATTTGTGGTCATGATCGGTTTCTTTCCGAAAATAACCGTTAAATATTATTACTTTTTTCTAATTTTTTATTTCCTGTTATAATAAATTTTGTTATAATCTGTTTATTACAAATAAATACATTTCCAGATAATCCACGTCCAGAGACTGGTCAAATAACTCGTATTCGTCTTAGTGAACATAGAGAACGTGTTCTTAATCAAAATACTGGTCAACTAATGGATTTAGCTGTGGACACATTTCTAACTATGGATTATTCAACTGGAAAATATGAGAAAATAAAATGTTATCGTAGTGATACACCTGAAAATCTTGTTAATCTACCTTTACATAGCAGTATATAATGATGAAGTATTCTTTTATGGTTTGCTTCTATATATGTACTTTCACCACTGTCTTCTATTACTTTCACTCTCTCTATCTCTCACTTTTTTATTTATGCCTGTGTCATGGTATCTCATTGACGATTATTATTGTTATTATTATTATCACTACAACTGTTCTGTATACAATGAATTTCTCTCTCATTTTTATTCATCACCCCTCCTCTTCCATAATGTACATCACGTGGCGTAACTACAACTATCTTTTTGTCTATCTAATGAGATGAATAGTTATCATACGGCATATTATAATCCTTTTATTTATTTATTTTGGTTTTTCTTAATTTTCGAAATTATTTTTTTTATTCTTCGAAATATTGCTTTCTCTTGTTCTCTCTCTTCCATTTATTTAATTTTGACTATTTAGACTGATTTACTGACAATATTTATGCTAATGCGTATTGTGCTAAGCTCAATTAATTTATATGTTAAAATTTCAATGATAGATTTTCTTTCTATTTGTTTAAACTTAAAGGAGTATCGTTTGTTTTTTCTTATTGCAACGTTTCAATTTATACACATATTACTACTGCCACCATCACACGTTCATGTTAATGTTAATAATAATAGTTAAGAATAGTACAGATAAATACACGAATGACAAAGAGAGAGCTCGAGTTAAAGTAATAATTAAATAATACTACACTCCTTCTCTCTCTCTCTCTCTCTCTCTATATATATATATATATATATATATATATATTTATTTATTTATTTATATATATATACAACTGTTTAATATGTTTGAGTTTTATTTTCTAAATGAAAAACTACTTTTCTAAATTTTGCCATTTTTAGAAAACATTGGGAATTGTACAGCTAATTGATTATATATAAACTACAGACATGTCCACGTATATTGTAAATAAATATAGTTGACGTATATTTCGCGTTTTTTTTTGGTTCAGCTATTTTTTTTAACTATTTCGAGTGTTATATATATATATATATATATATATATATATATATATATATATATATATATATACTTTTATTTTACATTATTTCATTTCAGTTATATTTAATCATTGAAATTTTTATCCTCTGAAAGAGCTTACCCCCTGGGAAGTTTCCAACTGCATTAAAACAGATATCTAGTTTTATCTGATTCTGGCTTAAATTTTAACATAATTACATGAAATCAACAAAATGTCAGTAGAAATTAATGATAAGAAGTTAGTAAGTAGTCAGAAACTCTTGTATAATAGTAGTTCCATATGTGAAATAAAATGCTTCTAAAGTGATAACAGATCTAATGATGTTCCATGTAGCTGTACCTTATAAATGTAATATGCGAGTTACATCTTTATTAAAATAAACCAGATTAGTTAGCCCCGGACAAATGCTGTGACTCGGATAAAACCTTTTTTTTAAAAAGAAAGTTATTTTTATTTAATATTTTCCTGAAAAAAAAACATGATAATGTCTCGAAAGAGTGGAGTATCCCAATTTAACTTTGTCACACATCATGCATTGAATTAAGCAATCTCTGTTAACGATAATCATTCACAATACACAACTACATTGTTATCACTCATTTTTGACTTATTATTGTCCAACATTATTAACAAATTGAAATATGAGTTTATACTTTTGATTTAATAGTTTCTGTAAATAGAAGTATGGTTTTGTTTATTTTATGAGTGAAAGATAAAACTGGTTTTTATTTAGGGTTATAGTGTTGAGAGATCTACATTTTTTCTGATAAGTGAGCATTTTAAAAAACAGGCTTTTGTTTTCGAAGCGTAACTTCAAACTATAGTTAAGTAAAAATAACGACACTTGTTGAAATAAATTATAAACACGATTATATTCACTCTTTATAATTTTAGTTGTAAATGCGTTACATACGTAATATCTATGAACTCGTTAATTTCTAGGCAATAAATAAACCTGATACAGGGTTTATTGGACCCTTAACACAAGCTGAATATGAACAACTTTATCCTCGAACTGACAAGCCTGATCTATTGGCTGAGGTAGCTGCTGAAGAAAATGAATGGATAGAATTTGAACGGCTTGATGAAAAAGAAGCTGTTCAAGCTGGAACTGCAGCTTGGACTCCCTTAACACCACCCTATATCGATTCACATTTCTCCATATGGTCTCTGTCGGAATCTATAAGTGCTAGTCAGCTTTATCTGGGTGGAAAGCTACCTCCACCTCCAACAGCTAGTTGGGCAAAAGTATTACGACGAGACTATACAGCAGATGATTACGAAGAAGAAATTGATTATATGCGTGCTCGAGCTGAAAATGAAATCAAATATGAAATCGGTGAACTGGCTCCTGTGCGATATGCAATTCACGTTCAGGTAACATTATAGTTATTATTTAATTTCTGGATTCCATTGTTTATTATTTTTTAATGATAAGATATCATCATGAGAAACTGATGGTATGGTTCTAGTAGCTCTATGCTTATTTTTCCTCTAGTGTTTTTTCATATATTTTAAACCCGAATTCGAACAGCGATTCCATCTTGACGTGGTTGCTTATCATAGCAACCTAATTAAGTTGAACATGTTTTTTGTCTTACATGACATCGTAACCAAGGTATCCACAGCACCTATCTTAGACCTAGCTCTGATTACGACTAACCGACCTTTCCTCTTTTAAGTCAATACTGTCAGTTTTTGGGTACTTTATCATTTCAAACCCATTTCCTGTCTTGTAGTAAATAAAATTACGAAAGTTTCGAATTTAATGACTGTCGTTCCACTGCTACATGTATTTGTTTTTCTTTTTTTCTCTTTCACAGGTTGCTTCAACGTATTCCGAAAGTCTGATGATTTCTTCTTTGGCTGAAGATTATTATTGTATAGCAGGTTATATTGGTTGGTGTGATCTGTCCGATCCAAGTCTTTCCAGTCATGTTCAACAAATGAGTCACGATCCGTTACTTGTTGGTTTACGTTATGATGTTAGTGAAATGGATGGTGATTATCTATTGGAGTCAATGGTAAGCGTATTTTTAAATTTCAGTTGATAAATAAGTATTATGTCACACTTTATTTCATTTACAAGTACTTGTTAGATTTATTACAATAACTCAGCTGATGTAGAATAATATGGTAAGACAAGCTAGGTATATTTATGTATCAAAATACATAATACTAATTGCTTCTACAACTACTAATTATCATAGTTTCCATCACGAACTTAGGTGGACAACTGTCTCACACCCGACATTTTTTTGGTTGAGTTTTGTTCTCCGAGCTGGATGATTTGGTTGTGAGGCTTTTATCATTCTTCTGGAGGTCATCATCAACACAAAATTCAAGTAGAGGTGAAGTGTTCGAATTTCCGCACATATAACTCACAGCTTGTCCTGTAGACCTCAATTTTGATTGGTTGTTTTTGACCTTTAACCTGTCATTGTTTGTCTTATTTTGACTGTATCTCCCATTGATTCGATTCTTGGTCCTATATCTATCCATGAATTTTCTGATTGGTTGATAGATTGAATCAATTTCAACGTATTTGTTGATTGCTGATTAACCTAAGTGCCAAGCTTCTAAAAATCCTCTGGTTTTTTTAGAATTGCCTCTATCCAAGATCTCAACGTTTTCCCAGTAGGATGTGTCCACAGTTATCCACTTGCATTTATATCAGTGAGGATGTCATGGTGTTTGACCGCTGATTGATGTTCATACAGTCAAGGTTAAGAAGGCGTTCGTCTTGTCTAATCTAGTTTTTTTCGCAGTTGGAACAATTTATTTTGTAGATGATGTTCGGTTTTTCTTCTTTTATCATCTCGTCCTTTAGTTTGCATAAAATTTATTGGAATGATTTTGTTGGTTTGTGTGCTACACTTATTACAAAAGGCTTCAACAATCTTGTTGTAATTCCTGATATGCTTTTTATATATGGTAGGATGATCCATTTGTTTGTTTCTGTACTTGATTTTGTTTCTGCTGATCCGTTAGGTTGATATTTTTTGATGAAGCTGATTGGGTAGCCGTTCTTTTGAAAGATAGTCTTTAGATATTTTTCTTCATTTTTTCGTGCTGCAAGTGTGTTGCAGTGTATCCTCGCCCTCTTGAATAAAGTTTGTACTCAGTTGATTTTGTGAGTTCTTGGGTTGTTGCTACTGCAATTAAAAATTTTATCTATGTGGGTTGACTTCTGATATACTTGAGTTTCCAGTTCTCCTGTGTCGGTTCTGATGATTAATACATCTAAGAATGATAGTGTTGTTTGACTCCACCAAAATCATCCGCCTGAGCCACAAATCTCCCCCATCTCATACTCGACATTATTATGTACACTGATCACGGCTTTCCACTAAGTCTCCCGGAACTTCATCTTGTAGCCATTCACTTTATTATTATTATCATCAGAATAGGCGAATTTGTGGAGATTGTAGAATTTTCATCCACAGCAGGTATTGGATCAGGGTTACGCAATATCATAGATTGAAGTTAAACGCTAACAATGTTGGATGCGCGCTCAGTGGTCTAGAGGCTAAACGGTTGCACGCGAGACCGAAGTTCCTGGGTTCGGTTACTGGGTGCAGTGTCGTGGATTCGTACTTCTGGGGGGTCCTATACTAGAACAAAATGGATGTTCAGTACTTCCATGTTTTGAATGGTAACCTAGTTAAGATCAGTTTGTGATTTAAACTATAAAAATTCTGAAGTCGGTACGAATCCCACTATTCTAAAAATAATGCTTATTTTGTCTTAAACTCAAATTCGATATAATGTACTCAACAATAACAACATTTGAGTGTCAACGCATACAGTCACCGAAATGATCGGTTCATTGTGGTCAGACGGTGTATCGACCAATAAGAAAACAGTTGGTCTACTGTTATCCAATGAAATACAAGGAAGGGAATCAAAATTAGTTACTCGTAAGTAATATAGTTATTATACACAAATTTCACTAGTTGAATGTCGCTCTCTTAAACGCATGGATATCTAAACTTTAAATGAATGGTTTGAAATTTCTGAAATTATTTTCTTTGTATGTTGGATATTGATTATCACTTGATCGGATGACTATAATTCTTTCGGTATTATTACGTAGATCTTCATTTCTGTCAGGGGTATTGATGTTAAGTCACCGTCTCCATTTCCTCACTGTACATGATAAATATGTATAACGATGTTTTTATTTCAGTAGCTAGTAAGGGGTTTTCTGCGTAATTACAACTGGATACTTACAGCTTATTTGTAAAAACTTTTTATGGTATTTGGAAATTCTAATATTTTGTGCTCGTAGTAAAGATAATTTTGACCGGCGGAACACTGCACTGCTTCATTGGCTGTGTCTTGTTATAAATAATACTTTTGAGAACAGTAAATAAACTATTGTATATGTATATATTGACATGTTGTAATCAGTACTTTTTTAAAGTCATTTTTACTCAATAAGTACATTGTCCAGTGGTTGTTACTTCAAATCAGTTATTTTTGACATTAATAGTTGTTTTACTAATCAGACGATTGAGTACCATTCCAAACAATGGTATCAATTTTATTTTTATTTCCTAAAAGAAGTTTATATTTTAATAGACAGAATAACATCCTCTTTTCATTATTGTACCAGTAATCAGTCGAAGTAAGTATCAAACAATTTAAACTGGTCATGAATTTGTCCAATACTAATATAAACACAATGATGTTTACAAGCGTCCATTGTTCCTGATCTTCATAACTTTGCTTTCATAAACATATAATTCAATGACCAGTTAGTTTGTAGTCCAATTTGTTTCTTGTCTTCTTTCGGTTGAAATAATTATCTTAGCTTCGGTGGAACGTTTCTCAATTAAAATGATTTCAAAGAGTTGAAATACCTATTATTTAGATCGGTGGTTTATAGATGGTTTATTCGATTCAAAGGTACTATGCTCACTGGGTGTTATGTTCTGTATAATTGTTGGTTGATTAGATTCATAATACAGGCGAATCGGAAATTCTTTTGATACGAAATGGGGCCTAACGTGACTGAGTAGATCGAACGGCTTATACTCAACAACATTTCAATGATGACAACCACACGTGAATGAGAAGACAGACACACACATAGAGAGAGAGAAAGGAACTTGCACTAGAGCTGTAATGTCTTGAAAAGTGACAATTATATGAGTAGACATTACAGTCTGTGTAGTATGTTACAAGATAAAAAATACCCGTTAAAATAGGTATGAGTAACACAGCGTTGCTACATTACTAAAACAATACATAATCATTATGTGAATGGTTACAATAATATTTCTGATCTGCAACACCAACGAGTCACCGTAACAATAAGGTGTAAAATGCTATAGATTAGTTGTCCTTTTAGCAACCCCGATTTGCTACATTATTACTAATGTAGATCATTCGTAAAATTTCATGAATTTAATCTTATGTGGGTTCGTGGATGTTTGGGGTCAGTTACTGGCTCTATCTCTCTGTCCAAAGACAGAAATTACATGGTATGAATTTCAATTCATACAAATGTCAGTTCACAGGTTCAAGTCCAGCTCCACCTACATCAGTTCTGGCAACCTGGGCAGTAAACATCATAAGTTCTCTCATATGAAATAAAATGTAGCTTAAACCTAAGGATATGTATTTGCACTCTCTAACTGAATTAGTTGCATGAAGTTTGTTTAGAAAACAGTTAGAATAAATTAGTCATTAATTCAATTCATCATCAGATAGTGGTGAATAAATGTTTTTTTTTAAAAAGAAACAATGTAATCTATAACATTCAATCATATATCCATTTAAATTTGACAAAATTACAACTCTCAATACATACACACTTGCTAACCATGAGCTACCTTAAACCAATCACATTGTAGTTCTATAGTTCCCGCACATATGGTTTATTACATTGGTTTTTTTTCAATAAGTAATAAAACGATTAAAATTTCTGTTTTTTTTATTTTTGGTTTTAGATCGATAGTAATTTCTCAGTAATTGAACATCAACAACTTGTATTCGATTTAGCTATTGGACCACATCAATTAAGACATGCATGTCATTTAGCTTATCGTCATCCTAAATTAAAATTAGTACTTAATCATTGTGGTTTACCTGTAGAGTTTACTGCAAGCAGATCAGGTGAGTTGTGTAAACGAATGAATTGTAAAACTTACATTGTGTTAATTATTAAAACTTTTAAAAATATTATATGTTAAGCTTTTCAACACAGATATTTTGTGAATGTAATTGAAAGTTATACTTTCTTTGTACGAACAAATAAATTTTTAAGGAAAAGATGTTAATCTAGATTTTCTGTTTTGTTCAACGTTGATTTATACTAGTGTGACTACGTATTAGTTATTATGATATGTTATGGGTGCTATCATAACATGTGTCTTTTTATATTAAAATGCTGGATAAAATAAGTCAAATTAAAAGTTTTCACTAACGATGTATTTACTAATAAAATCAGTTTGTTGAATGTAAATTTAGTTACATATAGCATATATTACCGTTAAATAATTATCAATCACGTTATCCTGTTGCCCACCTCATTAAGAAGTAATCCACCAATTTCGTTATTGTATTGGTTCTCGTGATAATTGGTTAACCATACAGGTTGACACTTTCTTAAACTTTCAATAAGTATAACAGGTTAGATGAGTAGTCGCAAGTGATTTATATAAGTCAGAATTATAACTCGTGATTATATAAATGAAAAATCATAGAGTGCCAAACTTATATACATCTCATTACTTACATTTCTATGATATTTTGTATTTGAAATCGATTAATATATTTTTAGTTAATTTACTTACAATTTATAAACACTAAATGACCACTCATTCAGTAAGTCTAAATGAAGCGTACAGTTGGCACTGTATTACCGTAACTTAACTGTTTAGTAAATACCAAGTATCTACATATAAACTTAGTCGCTTTATGATAGTTATGTGCGTTCCATGTCTTAATTCGTTTCAATAAGTTTGTGTTTTTTAATATTTGCATTCGTTTTTGAAGTTTGACTTACTGGTTAAATAGACTAAAGTTGTTTTAGGTTCGAACTTCAGTTCAATGGTATCAGTTTATGCGAATTCTCACGATCTTTTAGGTGTATGTACAGCATCAAGTCCAAAAGTAGAACGGGAGTTTTCAAACTCGATTTTAGTCGATAGTCATCTTTGCGCTGCTTCGTTAAATGAGGCTGTAAGAACACAAAAAAGAGAGATGTACATTCTATTGTCTCTTTGTCCCGACCGTTGTTGCTACCTTGACGTGGTGGTCGGGCTTGCCTATTGTGATGAAGCAACCGAGCTATACTGGCTGAAACAACTGTTCCTCAAGATCCTACCATGAGCGGTAAGACTAAAAGCAACAAACCCAAGATCCGAAGGCGAAGTCGTACTGCTGACTGTACAGAGGTGTGACAGCAGTAAGGTGTTTCCCTCGGACAACCAGCATGACAGCGATGCTGCCTTCCCACAAGGAGGAGTGGGGTTAGAAAAGGTCGACCCTAAAAATGTCACACCTCACCTTACCTCACGGATTTCCGTCTCCGGCGGTAAGGCCCTTTGAAGAACGGAGCTAACACATCAAAAACCTTCCACGAGAAGGCCGTGCGCGACCGGCCTCAAGCAGTTGTCCCTTGGGCACTGCGGTCACGCTCCCGGGTCGTCAAGACCAACACTAATCCAATTTCCTTTTCAGGTTCCTCAAGAAATACCCTTCGACGGTGTGGGCAGCCGGGAAGTGACACCAGCCCTCATACCCGTAACAGCACATGAGACCAAGTTGATCACATTCAAGTCCTTCCTACACCTCCTAATACCTCTCTTATCTCCATGACTAACCCTCTTCACGTCTCTTTATCACCTAGCACCGCTAGAGCAAACGATCCGAGTACGCGGAACTCTATTCCTGGTCTCCTGAAACCACGCTCTAAACTACACGTAGGAGCTTTTAACGTCCGAATACTGTGCCAAATAGGACAACAGGCTTCCTTAGCTAGGACTTTAGAATCCCGCGCCATGGGTGTGTGCTGCGTCTCCGAAACGCGTATACAGGATCCGAGTAGCGTCATTCACTTGACCTCACCATACCAAAATAAAGAACCGACTCGATTCACACTTCATGTATCTGGAAGCCCTGATTCTGCTTCCCGTGGCCTCGCTGGCGTAGGTATAGCATTGAGTCCTAGGTCAGAACTAGCTCTCTTAGAGTGGATCCCAGTAGACAGTCGTTTGTGCTCTGTCCAACTAAACGGAACAGTAAGAATCCGAAAAGATAGGGACACTCGTCGTTGCCTCTTCGTCGTCTCTGCCTATTCTCCCACTGACTGCAGCTCAGATGATGTAAAAGATGAGTTTTACAGAAAGCTTTCCGACCTTCTCCGAAACGCTAGGCGCTCTGATGTAGTAATAGTGGCCGGTGACTTTAATGCTCAAGTAGGTAAACTAAGCGGTAGAGAAAGACACCTGGGTGGATCTTATAGCATCGTGGCTCAAAGAACAGATAATGGCGACCGTCTGTTGCAGCTATGCTCAGATAACCGCCTCTTTCTTGTAAATACTAACTTTATGCATAAGGAAAAACATCTTTTAACATGGAGACCCCCTAATTCGTCCCAACGTTGGACCCAAATAGATCATATCGCTATCAGCCACCGATGGAGGGGCTCGATAGAAGACTGTCGCCCATTCTGGAGCACATGCCTAGATTCAGATCATGCTCTAGTGCGAGCGCGTATTTGCCTGCGTCTTACTGGACGTAGGAAAGACGCTGCAAGGAAACCTCTTAGGGCCCTACTTAATGATAGTCAAGCTAAGAGTATATTTCAGGAACAACTAGGAAAACAGTTAGACAGCCATGTATGTGATGCCCACCCCGAGGCAGCATGGAATGATATCCGAAAAGCTGTGGAATCAGCAGTGATATCTGCTAGTTCGGTAACCCGTAAGGTTAGGGAGAAACACTGGATCTCAGCAGCATCTACCGCACTGATAGATGCTCGAAAACTCACTCCACCTGGCTCTGAACATAATGAAGAGCAGAGTCAGCCTAAGCGCAAGCTGACAAGAAGTCTACGCAATGATCGCGAACAGTGGTGGGTAGCGAAAGCAAGAGAGATGGAAAAGGCAGCGGCAATAGGTAATAGCAGACAATTGTTCAGACTTGTTAAGGAAACCGGTATTAGGAAACCGACTGTTAGCGAAACACTCTCAGAGAAAGATGGACATATTAAACATTCTCAATCCATGAGATTGGATCGATGGGCAGAACACTTTAGGGATCAGTTCAACTGGCCTTCAGCCACACTTCGGTTTCCCACGATCTCCAGTCAACCTGAATGGCAAGTTAATGTAGGTCCTCCGTCTCTTTACGAAGTTGAAAAAGCCATAGGAAATCTGAAGAGAGGGAGAGCAGCAGGCCCTGATAGGTTTACTCCTGAGATTTTTAAGGATGGTGGTTCAGTGTTAGCAGTGAGATTAGCTGAGGTCTTAGGTAGGATTTGGGAACTGGACGTAATCCCATCTGACTGGTCTCATTCACTGATTGTTCCAGTCTATAAGAAAGGACAAAAGTCCTCTTGTGACAATCACAGAGGAATCAGTTTGACAAATAGTGTATAAAATATTAGCTTCAATAATACTTCGACGCCTAACTAAAGCTCGTGAAGAGCAGACTAGAAAAAACCAGGCCGGTTTTCGACCTGGACGTGGTTGTATAGACCACATATTCACACTACGTCAGGTTCTAGAACACAGACACACATTCAGACGCCACACAATGGTAGTATTTCTCGACCTTAAGGCGGCATTCGACTCTGTTGATCGTGAGGTTCTATGGCAGTGTTTGTCACTGAAAGGAGTACCAAAGAAGTACATTGACCTTATGAAGGCTCTCTACTCGAACACAACTGGTCGAGTGATAGCTTATGGCGAACTGTCATCAGAATTGATTACCTCAAGTGGTGTTCGTCAGGGCTGTCCACTCTCCCCATTCTTGTTCAACTTTGTGGTCGACGTACTTTTACAGATAACACTCTCCTCATCTAAATTTCCAGGGGTTGAACTTCTACCGGGAGGTTCACTTGTTGACTTAGAATATGCTGATGACATAGTTTTATTTGGTGAAGACGCTGACAAAATGCAGAGTCTTCTGACCACTCTAAGCAACAATGCAAGCATGTTCGGGATGTGATTCTCTCCCTCAAAATGCAAAATGTTGCTTCAGGATTGGGTTGCATTGACACTCGAACTAATGATAGGGAGTGAAGTAATTGAGCGTGTCGATCGCTTCACTTATCTTGGAAGTCTCATCAGCCCTTGTAGTCTGGTGTGTGACGAAATCTCAGCACGGATACAGAAGGCTCGACTAGCTTTTGCCAACTTGCGTCATTTATGGCATAGGCGAGATATCCGTCTATCAACCAAAGGACGGGTTTACTGCGCAGCAGTTCGTCCCGTCCTACTTTATGGCAGTGAACCATGGCCGGTAAGAGTAGAGGATATTCGTAGGTTACTAGTATTCGATCATAGGTGTCTTCGAAACATTGCTCGTATATCATGGGACAATCGAGTAAGTAACACAGTTGTTAGGAAACGGGTACTAGGTAAGGATGGCAAATCAATTGATGACGTAGTGAAACTTCATCAGTTGAGATGGCTGGGACACGTGTTACGTATGCCCAACGACCGACTGCCTCGACGTGCTATGTTCAGTGGTATAGGAGTAGGTTGGAAGAAAGCTAGAGGCGGCCAAACCAAAACATGGCACAAGTCCATGAAGTCACTGACAAGTGGACTGAGTCATGTTGGTAGGTGTAGACTACCTGGTTGTGGACCACGAGATGATAGCAGCCGATGGTTAGAGACCCTGAATGACATGGCTCAAAATCGTTTGCAATGGCGCAGGTGCATCCACTCTTTGTGTTCTCCCAAATTCTAATCTTCTGAATTCTTCATGTCCCTTCCTTTTTCCTCTTTCCAAATTTATTTCACTGGATTATTATTATTATTATTATTATTATTATTATTATTATTATTATTATTAGCTTTATTCAATATTATAATTTTGGTACAATATAGAATTCTCAGCGCAAAGTATTTCAACAAGTTTCCGTTTCTTTCTTCTTAGTC